TTGGGGCAGCTGTCCTGGCTGTGCCCCCTCCCGGCTTCTTGTGCACCTCCAGCCTTCTCAGTCGGTAGAGCAGGGGAAGCTGAAAAGTCCTTGACTAGTGTAAGCACTGCTCAGCAACAACTAAAACATCAGTGTGTTATCAGCATTATTCTCATCCTAAATCCAAAACACAGCACTGTACCAGCTGCTAGGAAGGAAATGAACTCTTATCCCATGTGTTGACATGTGTCAAAAGTTTTACCCATAAAACAATTTTAGGACAGAACTTGTCACCGTAAGTGGCTTTTTGGGCTGTAATGTCTGTGGGAAGTGAGTAGGGTGGGACAATGTCTTTGTTGGTAAATAAGTAACAGTTTTGCTCGGTATCACCGTGAAGTCCATCTAGCACTGCACTTCAAAAATTGGCTGCTTTTTTTTTTTAGTTTTATTAAGCAGCTGAGGAAAAGTAAACATTCCACTGTAGGAGGAAGATGATTAAAAAAGTCTGGCAGTTGGCATCCTTAGAAAGGTGAAATAAAGGTTCTGACTTAATGTGCCCTTATAGTATATACTACTAGTGTAGGTAAGTATTCTGGCAGAATTGCTTTTATAGAAGGCGGTTCTCCCCAGCTGGTTTAGTGTGCCAGTCTCCATTTCAAGGTTGTGATCGTAACTACTTTAGAGTTTGGCTTTATTTACTAACAATATATATAATCAAAAATGCTTTTCCACTGCTAAAAGACTGTAGAATGAAGGACTAGGATGTCAAAGGTTTATGACTTCTGTTCAACACCCCACCCCACCCCGCCCCGCCCCACCCATTACTAGAGGCTCTGTTAATGATTTTAGGTAGGTGCTTGTACTCAAAGAGCTAAGTAGGAGAATCAGTCAAGTAATTAGTGTCTGTCTTAGATGGGAGCCTGAGTAACCTAAGCAAAGGAACTTCACTTACAAGTGATTGTTTAATTAACATACTGTACATTAAGCATCTAGTTGCATCTAACTTAAGCACTTGAGACACTAATTTAAAATGCTGTTGTTATGTCACCGGTCAGGTTAATTTACATTTGTAGTATATCAGAAAATTATGGCTTTCAGGTTTATATTTATGAATGGACTTTGATAGGTGTGGACTAAGCAGAACAGATCATAAATTGTTATGAATAGTTAAAAAAATCCAGGTGGTAAGGGGAAATAAATTAATAGCCTGCTTCCATACTCTGACTGTCCTTCGAGATGTGACTGTATCTCATTTCCACTAACACTTAAATAAATAAAGAAGTAAAAATTGGTATTCCATTCTGGCAGCTCTGAATTATATTCAGTATCTTCAAAAAAAAAAAGAAGCTGAATTTTGAGATTTTTTTCATGGCCTTTAAAGAAACAATAACATGCATGAGTGTTCCAACACAGGCCAAATGTTGCTCATTTTGAACTTGTAAGAGGTCAGCTCTTTGATTAGGGCAATGGCAAGTGTTGTATGGCAAGAGTTAGTAAAGTTTAACTCACTAAGATATGTAATGAATTGAGGAACATTAAAGAGGAAAATACTTTGACTGTCTCCAAGCATTTAGTATGACTCCTCATATGCTTTTTAGGATTAAAGATTTCTCAAAATAGTTACATGTTCAGTGAAAATAATAAGCAGAATGATCCATGTTGATGCAATTTATGAAATGCTATTGTTAATGTGTGCAGTTAACTGTTAAGTTTCCATGTTATGACAGACCCAGCTATGATGGAGATAGTGAGTCATTAGGATTTGATATAATCTAAGAGTGTACCTGTTGGTCATGTGAGTTCATTTGCTGATAATGTATTAGGATAGTTTTTGTCATGCACTTGCAATTTGACTACTTCTGTAATGTAATTTTAGACCGATCCTCAATTTCCCCCCCATTATCTTCCTTCGTCATGTAATCTCAGAAGCCTTTGTGTTCTAGATTTATAATGTCTTACATACTTGAGGGTGAGATTGAAGAGAGAGGTTATTTATTTTTGTTACCTTAGATGTCTGAGATTAGCTCTTCCTTTCATGTCAGGCTATATTATCAGGAGCATAAAATGTGGGTTTTTTTTTTTTTACCTATCTACCCACAGAAATTCTTTAAAAAAATTATTTATAATGACTGTATGTTATACTTAAGGGGACAAGAAAAGTGTGGCTTGAAGTTAGGCTGCTGAGTCACTGTTCATGCACATGTCTGCCAGGATCACTGCTAAACACAAATCAGAAAAATCCTCTGTGTCTGTGATGTTCAGGTATGTATCTTTACTTTTGAACTTTATGTAGTCTCTATTTTAAAGAAACACTGTGGCGGTGGTACACTAGTGCCGTCAAACAGCTGTTAGAGCATCTGTGCTTGTAGCTCTCGGTAAATAGAAGATCATAGATGCATGAAAGTTGTTTTCATTAGGACACTGTCCTATTCTTTGTGCTATTTATCACTAAGAGAACTTACGATGCAGTTTAAAAGTGGCAGTATTACATTAATTTACCTCCTTTCCTTCCAAAACTGAGTACAAAGTGTCATTATTTATATCTGGAAAATAACAACTTTTTCTATGTGAAATAACCTAGTTATGAAACAAAATAATACAAAATTTTCTCCTGGGAGTGTTAGCTTAGGTTGTGAATAAGAAGCTCTCAAACTTTAGGTGATTTTCCTATGAGAAAGATAATTTGATTCAGAAATACTGCCACACAGAGTCTCAAACCCTCACCCTGCTGTTTTTTGTTTTGTTTTGTTTCAAGTTGGCTTCCTTGCATCAGACCGTCGCTGTTGTCTCAGGGAAGAGAGCTTATCTAGGGACTCTCAGAACAAAGCATTGTAAGAGATGAAGTCTGAGTGAAGATTCCATGTTACAAAGCACAAACTGCTAACCACAAAGGAATGAGGACTCCAGTGAGGCACCCCAGCAGTCTGCCTGGACCAAACATGACTTTGTTTTCTCAAACAGGCAAGCCCCATGCGTAACTGCATACAGCCCCTTCATCAGGATGCGATAATAAAACTGTATTTAGGCTGTGCTGACGGTGCAGTCTGAGTGCAGGCAGAAACTTCTGTTGCATTAAATGAAG